AAGTGCGATCGCAGGAATTCTGCGTGGGTGGCTTTCTGGTGGCCCTCACATCATTTCTGACTACCTATGCGACTTCCAAGAAACAGGCACTGCAACACGGTTACCACATTGATGCAAGTCGCGCCCTCAATTTCAATAGCCCGTGACTCTTGCTCGTGCCAACAAGATCAATGGGCGAAAGGCTCGTTGCTAGTAGAATGTTACGAACTGAGTAACTATAAGTCTAAGGTCAGGAAATGTTTGCCCTTGGCATGGCGGGCGTGTGTGGATCCTTTTATGGATCCTTCACACCCAGCGGGTCGCTGAGCAGGACGAGTCTCGCTTCCGAAGTCGGTGTCAAAACCCAGAGTCTTGGATGGAACTTGGGTCAAAAAAGGACAGAACGGGGCACTGAGCAGTAGCCGTTTCTGACCCCCCGAGCACAGGATGAGCGGCCTGATGAAGCTGGTGGTTGTCGGCACGAGCCTACAGTTCCTGACGCCAATCCTGTATTATCTTCCGAAGGTCGGGGCTTGAACGTGCATTGCCGTGCGGGCCAGTGTTTGTGGCTCTGACGTAAGCCTGTCCGGACCTTCAAGGCGAGTCCAGCAAGCGAACAACACCTGCAGGGCCTAACCGTGACATGTCCGGCAGGCTATGTAATAGGAGTTGAGGTTGCAAACCAGAGTGCCGAAAGCCGTCCATAGGTCCTTTCAGGGCAAGTTCCGCTCCGCATTGGCCCTCAGATGAGACCCTGCACACATCCGTGCTCTTGTTGGAAGGCAGCTGGAAACCAGGGCAACAGCACATTCACACGAAGCCTCAATTGTGGGCTTTTCCTGCATCTATTCTCTGGCCCCTCAGGCCACAAGATTTGTTTACGATGAGTCTGTGCCCAAACTCTTCGGTTCACGTCCAACAGCTGCTGAGTTGTTGAGAAACGAAGGGACGTCCTCCCAACAGTAGTCCAGATCTCACTAGCCTCGATTGAGAGGTGCCTCCAGTCTGCAGACTTGACCTGATCTGGGCTTCTGGCACAGGCAACGCTGGCGGCAATCATTCTGCGCTCGACCTGGCAGTTGGTAGATCTGCACACGCCAAAGACGCTGTGGAGCTCTTGGAAGCGGCTCGGCCATGGCACGCTGCGCATCCCGCTGCCTGCAGCAAACCATGGCAAACCTCTTTTTCGTTGCGGTGCCCAGGCCGTACCATCAGGGTGGCATGAAGCGAGACTTTGTCGTTTGGTGGATCGCCTTTCTGTTCACCGTGTTCAAAGGCCCCTGCCATACCCTTGGCTGAGAGGTTCACATCCCACCTAAGAACCGGACAGGTGTGCTGTGGGGCATCGGGTTGGCCGTCTTCGTTTCCGTGCTCATGATTGTCCACGATGCTGCCGTGCCAAGGCCCGCTTCTGAAAGCAAGATGCCAGTCTCACAGATAGCACTGTACGTGCCATCCGCCTTTCTCGTACTTGTGCCTTCAAGGGTGGTGAAGCTTGGTTCCATCGAATCTTTGGGAAACATTTGGCGTGACCAAGAAGTCTGGCCGGAAGGGCGCACCTACCCAGGCAAGATTTCTTTCTAGATCACGGTGTGGAAATATGCTCACTTGCACCAGTCGGTCCTTCGCAGGCGTCCTGGTTATCGAGTTCAGGGGGCCTTTGTCTTTCGCGAGTGCGGACCACTTCATGGAACAGGCGTTGGCATGCCTAGGATCATTTGCTTAGGGTCCTTCCCCTGATCCGGAACCGCATGCGACCTGGATCTGGTAATATCGATCATATCAGCACATGCATGGCTGTCGGTCTATTCGCAGTTCTGAAAGTGCAGCCGCAGTGTCCGCAACAGGTTGAGAACAAGCGGTTGGAAGAAGAGGAAGCAGGAAATCCAGTTGATGTCATCGTGCTACCGTTTGGAAGCGCACCTCATCTGAAATCAATTTGAAGGCACTTGAAAAGTGAGCTTCATGTTGCAACGCTATCATATTGCCTTCCCTGTTCAGCCAAAGTGCGCGGGTTTGGACATCCTGATCTGACACCGTCGTTTTCCAGCTCTGTCGAGCTCGGCAGCGCATGGCAAGGTGCATGATTTGGACAAGACGGCGATAGAGATGTTGCGGGACTTGCTTACAGAGTCTCTTGCCCCGACTTTGGTCACGCATCCTCCTGCCAGATCAAGTTGCACCGCCCCTTGGGGTGGTGGTTCTGGTAACTAAGTTTGCTGTGTTGCCTTGGGAATCTTGTTCGGTGTGCTTCTCTACTTTTTCTCACATCCTTTATAAGATTTTCTCAGATCTAGGCCTCGCAACCCCACTTTGGAGTAGACAAGAAGTGCATAGGACAAAATAGAGAAGGAAGCGGTGAGTAAACATGATCTAGATGAGAGATGTGGAGGTCGGGTTAAGGCTTGTGTTTGCGACAGCCCAAAAGATCACGGGGGTTTTGAGGTAAGGAACCTTCCAGCAAACATGGACTGGAGGCCTGGCAACTTGAAGGGACAAAGTTACTTTGGAATGGAACGTGTAGCAGGAGAGGCTGGGAGGGATTTTAGTAAAGCGAGGGGTATTGAGTGCATTGAATCCTTGAGTGTACACTGTAAATATGGAGGAGTCGATGAAACGAAACGATGAAACGAAAGGGGGATTCCATCAGGCTACCGCAAAGAGACAAAAAGGGATTCCAGCAGCGTGTAGAGCACGCTGTAATGGTGTTTCGTGTATATGTACGACATGTGTGAGCAGAGGTTGGAAGGGGGCGTTGAGTTGCAAAGAATCTGCAGCGTTAGTATAGACAGCATCGCGGGGCTCAGTTGTATACTCTTCTTTTGTTTTGGTGGGTAGTTATGAAACCAGATGGCTTTAGCTACGAGCGTTCTAGCTAAATACGTGTGGGGTCCGCTGTCCACCGCCGGCGCAGGGGCATGCAGTGGCATGCAGTCGGCATGCAGCCGGCATGCAGTCAGCATGCAGGTGGTTTGGGTTGCCGAAGCCGGCGACGACATGCAGTCGGCATGCAGTTGGGGTCCGCCGGCTCGGGATGCATAGACCGAATCCAAAAACGCTCCTGGACATAAGAACGTTGCCAAAGAAGCATCAGCTACATTTAATTGAATTTTTGGAGAGAGCTTTGGGAAGCTCATTTCGGTTGTCCAAGCTAGCCAAAACCAATAGACAGTGCATAGACCGGATCCAGAATTGAATTGCCCATGGAGACCAGACGGTTGCTACAGAAAAGCGAATTAATCTTTGCTCCTTTTGGAGACCTTCGGGAAGCTGATTTCGGGCTTCAAAGCTAGCCAACATCAGCAAGAAGTGCATAGACTGGATCCAAAAGGCGCCTGTGGGCCGCGAAAAGTCCCGAAGGCTGACTCAAAATATGTGATTGATTTTTCGGAGAGATTTGGCAGGCTGTTTTCGGGCTTGGAAGAAACATCAGTAACAATCGAATAGACCGGATCCAAACCGCGCTTCTGGACCCGAGATGACTCGAGACATGTGCAAAACCAAAAAGTAAGTTTTGTGTTTTTGGAAAAGAGAACAACTTCGTTGCAATGCGCAGCAACCTTTTGAACTCGTGGGGCCCGGGCTTGAAGTTTCTTCCTTGGATGTCGAGTTCTCCCTGGTGACGGAAGCCACAGGCATATAGAGGGGTACTGTATTGTGTGTGGAAGTTCTAAGGTGGCGCAAGCGCAACATGTCCTGTATCGTGGCAGAAGCGAAAAGCCGAGTCCGACTGCTTCTGGAGGATTGGGACTCTTGATTTTTCCAAGATGCACGCTGGTGTGCTCTTTCGAGGAGCACTTCGGAAAGGGTTCAAAGCCTCTTCTCGACCAGCCGGCGTTCATGATTAGCCTCTGGCTTGGTCAGAGTGCTGCAGACGTTGCCGTTGGTTCTGATCTTTAACGTCGATCGTGATGTGCATTGGCAGAACACCTTAGGCTTGGATGTTGCGGGCTCAGCTGTGCAGCTGGGTTGACTTCTCTCAGTCTGGCCCAGAACCTGCCAGGATGCGGTTTCTTTGGCCAAGATCAATGTGGCCAAGCGAAAGCGACGGATAGCCGCACAGGATGACTCAGGCGCGCATGGCTCCGCAGCCGCCAGAGCAGTCCCAGCTGTTGGAGTCCGTTGGCTTCTTGAGGCACTGGCGAAGGTAACTTCAGGAATCCATCGTCTCGTCCTCGGACCGTTCTGAGCAGACTATTTGTTGCATACACGGGTACTTCGACATGTATTGCAGACGGAATCTCACGCGAGGCAGACGGAACAACTGTCGTTCAATCTCACCCGATGCTGAAAATGAAATGAGATTAAGGCTTCGACAGCCTTTGCTAACAGATGAAGAAGTTGGGCAGCTTGGACTGCTCTGTAGCTTGTCCGTATGCGCCTCTTCTAACTGCTTCAAGGGTGATTTTCTGTGACTGGCTCGCAGGCAGAATGACCGGGGATTTCATCGAAGCACCAGCTCGAAAGTGTAGCACTGCGGCAGCGCAGCACAGCGAACTGCGCAAAGAGATCTCTGAGACATGTGATCGCAGCACAGCCCTAGTCATTGTGAGGCATTTGCTGAGCATGGGGTCACGTGCCATTGCATGCTGATCCAATGTTTCTAGCCAGCATGTCCGCACGCCGACTTGGAGAAAATGGCAGCCGTGGTAACAGAAACTGTGCAGTTTATATCAAGAACCCGGACAGTCGTCATTTTAGCTCGCGGCATCTCGCGGCCAGTGTTACCCAGTAGTACTAGAAGGATGTTCTGTCAGCCACTTCCAGAAGGCTTTCAATCAGTGTCTAGTGCATTTTGTAAGTACTCCGCTGTTGATATAGATCAGTGTATGGGAATCCAATCGTATTCGTCCATGTCATTCCGTTCGAAGGAGATTTCTGTTCCGGACAAGCTTGTGATCTGATAGGTTGCCGAATAACGATGAGGCTGGCTACATGAGTAGCGCAGGCGGAAAAGTGTTGGCGTACAACTGCAGGGCCTGCATGTGTACTTACCTGCCGCGAACTGAATCCAAGCTGAGTCGCCTCAGCATGACGGACACGACAATGCTGCCCTTGATGCTCGTGGTTGTGATCGTGGGCTTGCTGCGAGTATTTCATGCGCTCTACGACTTCATTAAGCAGTTTTCCGCCAAGGCCGGCCCGTGGTGTGGACATTGCTGAGACTTACCCTAGCAGGTAGTCTCGGGTGCTTGCGCAGCGGATCTCAAGGTTCTTGCATCCGCCGAATCCATGATCCTCGTGCTTTGGCTTTCGAACCGTCCTGTTTATCCGTCCCTTGGTCCCTGGACCGTGCGTGCAGAGTGTGCTCAGGAAATCGAGGCCCGGAGCATTCACTTGCTTTGCAAGACGTAACTTGCGGCAGCTACGGGGTGGTATTCTCCATTCTTTCATGTATCCGTTTACCTCTCGCAGGACGAACTTGTCCCGGTTGTGCAGTTTGAGAAGCTTTTAGGGAGAGGGATCAGGGTCAAATCTAGTCTGTGGACAGGGCCATGCTGCGGATGGCGTGCTGCACAGGCTGTGGGTATCCATGGTGTTGCAGCACTAGCATGTTTGGCACTCATGGAGTTGCGAGTTGTACTGGGTAATACTTGCACCCTGTCATGGGAACTCCTGCTTCGGCAGAAGTTCCATGGGTTTGCGGATTCGAGCAGGACAGACACGATGACAGCCACCCGAACGAGCTGAGTCGCTGCTGAGATTTGTGCTCCTGGCCGGACAAAAGTCAACGGAGTTCATGCGATGTGCCGCTTCAATGATCCCTGTTTCGACGAATTGGATGCAATTGTTCAGGCCCTTGGCTGAGAATGTCTGTCCGTCTTCATTGCTAGGTTGGGATGAAATGTTGTATGCATGTTTCCGCCGGAAGTTGCCGACTCAATCTGCAGGGTTAGAAAGCCAGCAGGAAAATGCTGGACACGAGCCCGGCAACACAAATTGGCATTTGCAGCAGTCAGCAGGCTTACGCATGCCCAAGGACTTTTGCCAAAGCCATGAGTTGAGCCACACGACTCGCTTTGCGAAGAGTATCTATGCGTCTATGAAAGGTGGGTTCTGCCATGGGATGACCTCACGTGGATATTGCCAGTATGGTCAGCCCGGAGATGGTCTCCATGGATGACGCTCAGTCAAGGTAGAGTTGCGCCATCCCGGAAATGAGGTAGAAGTCATCAAGGCTGGGAAGTCAGCTTGGGAGTTTCTATGCTCAATAAGTTTGTCTTCCTGCGTAAGAAAGGTTGATGGGAGCCGGTGGCTTGAGTCAGCTCCAACTTCGTCCGTCCGTCGACCAAAGGATCGGGGCAGCCAATGGACTAATACTTGTAGGAGCTGAGGCTAGCAGCTACATCGCTATCGCTGCTGCCGGCATCGGTTGCGTGATATTCCGTGATGTTCCATGTAATGTTGCGATGGCGGTTGCGACATGGGCTATTGAACGCTTCCTTTGAAGGCTGCTTTCGAACACTTTCAATCCGGCTAGGGCTAGAGCGAACCAACATACGCGAAGGAGGTCGGGCAGGGATCTACGAGGTGCCCCAGCTGCTGTGATCTGCTTTGCGTTGCCGGCCCAGGATGCAGCGCGAGGTGAGCGGGAAGAGGAAGAGGTGAAGGCTCTCTGATGCTCGCTGACAGCCTGACAGCCTCCAAAGGAGAACTTCCGCCGTGAAACTGTGCCGAAAGGTGGATGCCATGCTGGCAAGGATGGATGAGCTCATGGCCATGGTTGCTCTCTGAGAAGAAAACGTCACTTCTGCGACGAAAATGGTTCATGTGAAGTTGCACCGGAGGTGTCGATAGCAACCAGCGACGATGACTTTCGAGAAAAGAGGCAAGCTGCAACGTTTTTTGGCAAGTTGCCCGTCAGACTCTGTGGAGCTTTGCAAGGCAGCACATCGCCAAGAAACTGCGAAGAACATCCATTCAGCTAATGCGGACGGCATTTGGAGGCTGGTGATCCCGATGTGCTGCTGCCACGTATACTCCCATAACTGGGCTTATGGGTGCGATCTTTTGCTTCTCAATTGGTCATATCTGGTAACTCTGCCCTACAGTATACAGCATCCGCGAAGCAAGTGTGCCGTGGAATGCCAGGGAAAGGCAAGGAAGACGACATGAGCGGAAGCGAAGAGTGGGAAGGAGTCCAGTGGCCTAGATATGCCTAGATAGCTTGACCAATCGAAAGGTTTTGTCAATATCTTCGCTCAGGCATCGGCGATATCCCACGATTCACAGCCTGCCCCTGCCACGATCAAGGAACTCTTTCAACGCTCCCGCGAGGCTCGCGTACGCTCAACCACGATTGTCATGTTTGCGTTCACGTCTCGTCATGGAGCAGTGGAGCAGCACCCGAGTTTCCGAGAGGCAGACGAAGTTGCAAAGTTGGCCAAGCTCATCTCCCTGCAGTCCATCCAGCTGGAGGCATGGTGCACCACGACTCACATCGACTTCTGAAGGTTCTTGAGCAGACGAGCAATGCGACACTGTCCGGCTTGTCACAACGCAGCAATGTAGGAAATCCGAACACCGTCACATTCCAGCTGTAGGGTCACCATGGGTCACCGCATTCACATCAAGGACTTCCGACTCCCAAGGCCTTTCATCGGCTGCCTTGCGTGGAGCCTCCACCTCCATTCAGAGAGCCATGGGCAGTCCACTGCAGCAGCGAGGTCCATCACCGGATCTTCCCAATGCTTGCTGCTCCAGAACTTAAATCGCACTGAAGCTTCGCAGCTTGGAGATGACGAGTCGAGTCCGACTTGGTGGTAGCGGCCACTCTTCAGATTCCGCAAGCGAGCGGAATTTGTTCTACCGGATGATGTTCATGAGGCATTGCCCGGGCGAAGACACTTGGTGGACGCGTGTTGCCACATCCGTTTGCAAGTTTTTGGCCAGCCGAAAGGTTGAGCAGCCATGATGGCAAAAGGTCTCTCACCCCGAATGCTTGGATTTTGTGCTTGGGCGCTGGGGTTTTGTTTGGTTACTATCGGTCAAGGTACCGAGTGAGAGATTCTTTTGTTGACGGACCTGGCATCAACGCCTAAGGGCGCGCTTGTGTCCGTACAGTCGCTGCAAATTTGCAGATCTGGACCCCATGAGAGTTCCGGAAGAATCCGTCGAGTGAGGCACTTGCGCATGGAGGCGACTAAACGTATGGAAGGATGCCGATTAAGACTGCGAGAGCTTGAAATAATTAACCAGTGTCTTCTCACAGGTCAGTGGCCAGCGAACCCAAGCGGCAGAACAGCGGTGCGAGGACAGGGTGCAGGGCAGTGCAAGGCAGTGCTGGGGGTGCTTCTCGCCAAGCCTTCCCAGCCAGGCACTGGAAGAGCGTGCCAGAGCTGCAGAAGACTGCATCGAAGCCCTGGAGGCAGAGTTGACACTGCGACGCCGTCGTGCAACTTGGCCAAAGAGTGTGTCACCTCTGTTTCACATGTCACAGTGTCGCCTCCCTCCCTGACATGCTTCATGCTCGCTTCATGATCCTTGCTGGCCTGTTGCGTTTCTAGATTCTAGACATCGTTTCTCCCAGTGCTTGATGTTCAGGCCGAAGTGCTGGAGCTACACAGAAGGAGCCACCGCTGGGTCACATCAGGCACTGAGACTGGTCCCTGCGTGCAGGCAGCTTGAAGCGGAAAATGTCGAACTGCAGAGACGCCTCCAGAACCTGCACCCCGAAAAGGAGAATAAAGAGGACCTAGCACATTCAGAGTTCCCTGGCGTCGTCCTCCGCAAGACAACAGTTGCTTTTCCAGGAGGGTTCCGCCGAGAGTCTGCACGAGCAGGCTACACGGCTCCTCGAAAAGCTCAGCCTCTTGAATCCAAAGAGGTGAAGCAGCCAACAAGATGGCCTTGATACATGCGTCGTCTGGCCACCGCACTTGACCAAGGTCAGCCGCGAAGTAGCCATTCGGTCGCAGCCGGCTTCATGCTTGAGGCTGTGCTAAAGCCTGCTTGGCCGTCTTCGTGTTGATCCGACCTGTCCGACCCTGAAGGGAAGTGTGTCACAAGCTCATGAAGGTGCTGGGAGAGCTCAAGGGCTCCTCGCAAAGATCCGACGTTTAAAGTTTAAATCACTTCTAGCTCTGCGCGGAGCCTGGGCCTGCCGAGGTCATGTGCAGCAAGCGCCAGGCCTCGAGGCCACCGGCTTAGTCGAGGCTCTTGCTGCTTTGGGCGTGGGCGTAATGGCTGTACTACGCTCTCTCCCAGAGTTTTTTTCAACAGCCAGAACTTGTTCTGCCAGAAGGCCTAGGGGAACACTGGACCCCATTTGATGAGGCCTGTGAGGTGGCACTTTGAAGCCCCCGCTCAGCGAGGCTTCAAATGCCAGCCCCTCTGGGCCCCAATCTCAATTCCAACACTGGGGTGGTGGTTTGGGGGCAGCTATCCGATCAGCTATCCCACAAGGCATGGGGACAATTAGGGGTGTGGTCCGTCGCCTCCTTTTGCGGCGCCTCCGATGCAGGGTAGGCCCCCCGGAAACAGGGTTGTTGGCTTCCTGAGACCCATGCAACAACCCCATGCATTCAGCAACTCACGCACCTTCGTCGCGCCGCCCGGGTCTCTCTTGTTGGCTCTCGGTGGACCCCGTGCTCGCCTTCTGAAGACTACAAGGGGTAGCTTTATCTCGCTTGCTTTGCTTTTCTACACGTCGATCAGAGTCCACACTGGGGGAAAGCAATTCTCACTGCATATCTCATGTTGCAGCAGACTTGGTTTTCGTACTAGAATGTTTTGGTGACATCGAGCGGCGTCCACACTGCCATGAATGCAGTTCGCAGTGCGCCTTTGATGTTGTATGAGGGCCTGGAGCGGGTGGTTGCAAATGCGAGCGTTTACATGATTTTACATGGGAACAGCTGGTGTTGATATGCCTTGTTGCCACGGATTTGTGTCTCGAGCGCGTTCTTGCCAACTTGCGTGTCTACATGTAGAAGGGCTGGTTTTGCATTCCTGTGAAGCCACGGATGTTTGTCTTGATTTGGTTTACAATTCACAAACATGCTTATTGCGCGGTGCTTGCGAAATTGAGAGTGTCTACATGGTGTTGGGCATGTTGGCAGTGCTGGAAGGTTGGTTGGCAGCCTTTGTATCACACACAAAATCGGGACAAAATTTACTCGAGATTCTTGTAATGAAAAGTATTTGCCTGAACCTCGTGATCCCCAGCATCCGTGACATCCTGACAATTCAGCTTACGCGACTTGGAGCTTACAAATAGCGTGGGGTTTCGCATGGGTTGGGGGTTCTTTTTGGGTATTTTTTATGGTTGTTTTTGGGTATTTTTTATGTTTTTCGGTTCGGTGGGTACGCGAGTCGGTCAGTCAGTCAGTCAATCAGTCGGTCGTCCAGCGGCAGTGGTGAGTCGGTCAGCCAGTCAGTCCGTCTGCCAACCGAGCCGTCAATCAGTCTGGCTGTCTGTCAATCAGACTGTCAGTCCGTCAATCCTCTCGTCAGTCTGGCTGTTGATCTGGCGTTGCACCTGCAGCCGTTGAGCATGGGGTACGTTTAAGATATATCATGAACCGGAACCGCCGAATCAGGGGGCGCGTTTAAGATAGATGATGAGCCGCTATCACCAAAAGAGGGGGCGTGTTAAAGATATATGTTGAACCGGAATCGCCAAACGAGTGGGCGTGTTTAAGATATTCGGTGAACGGTTATCGCCGAATGCAGGCGCTTGTTAAAGATATCTGGTGAACCGGACTCGCCGAATGACGGGGCGTGTTGAAGATATGATGACCCGTTATCACCGAAAGAGGGGCCTTGTTTAAGATATATGGTGAACCGTCATCGCCGAATGAGGGGGCGTGTTAAAGATGTATGGTGAACCGGAAAGGGGTGTGCCTCAGATTTTTGCACAATCTATGGTGAACCGGAATCGACAAATGAGGGCGTGTGCTTTAGATGTGATGAACCGCCGGTCCTCTTGCAAGTGCGTTTGCAAAATGGGGGGGGGGGGGCTGTGCCCTCCCCCGACCGCCCCCCCTCCGCTTTCTTAAGCCCTGTTTTTCTTTAGCGAACTTCGTACCATCAAGAACGCTATTGGGCCATTTGCGGTGGTCGCAGCAACTCAAGCGCATAACTATTCTGAGACTTTTCTAATCCCGTCCTAGGGGCCCAACCCTCCTCGCTTTATGTTTGGGCCGCGCAAGCTAAGATATATGATGAGCATATATGGGGAACCCGTGTTTTTTTTTGCTGTCGTTGCCTTTATGTTTTTTTTGTGCTCGTTGCGCGGACCCAGGAAGCCGGTGAGTGAGTGAACCCCGGTGCCCGCACCGACAGCCAAAAAAAAAAACGCGCCCCCGCACCGACAGCAAAAAAAAAAAACGCGCCCCCGCAACGACAGCAAAAAAAAAAAACCCGCGCCCCCGCACCGACAGCAAAAAAAAACGCGCCCCCCGCACCGACAGCAAAAAAAAAAACGCCCCCCCGCAACGACAGCAAAAAAAAAACAGCCCCCGCAACGACAGCAAAAAAAAAACGCGCCCCCGCAACGACAGCAAAAAAAAAACCGCGCCCCCGGGGACGACCGCCCTCGCAAACAACAGTATCGGGAACGACACAATATCTGGGCGTTTAAGTTGCTCATTTAAGGTTTCTATCAAGTGGTAGTAGTAGTAGTAGTAGTAGTGGTAGTAGTAGTAGTAGTAGTAGTAGTAGTAGTAGTAGTAGTATAGTAGTAGTAGTAGTAGTAGTAGTAGTAGTAGTAGTAGTAGTTGTCGTAGCAGTAGTAGCAGTAGTAGCAGCAGTAGTAGTAGTAGTCGTAGTAGTAGTAGTAGTAGTAGTAGTAGTAGTAGTAGTAGTAGTAGTGCTAGTAGTAGTAGTAGTCGTCGTCGTAGTAGTAGTAGTAGTTGTTGTTGTTGTTGTAGTGGTAGAAGTAGTATAGTACTAGTATAGTAGTAGTAATAACAATGATGATAATAAACAAGCGCCCGGGGAGCGCAACGACAGCGAAAAAAAACCGCGCCCCGCAGGCACGACAGCAAAAAAAAAACGCGCCCCGCAGGGACGACAGCCAAAAAAAAACGCGGCCCGCAGGGACGACAGCAAAAAAAAACGCGCTCCGCAGGGACGACAGCAAAAAAAAAAACGCCCCGCAGGGACGCAAAAAAAAACGCGCCCCGCAGGGACGACAGCAAAAAAAAACGCGCCCCGCAGGGACACAGCAAAAAAAAAAACGCGCCCCGCAGGGACGACAGAAAAAAAAACGCGCCCCGCAACAGCAAAAAAAAAAACGCGCCCCGCAGGGACGACAGCAAAAAAAAAACGCGCACCCGCCACGACAGCAAAAAAAAAACGTGCCCCCGCAACGACAGCAAAAAAAAACGCGCCCCGCCACGACAGCAAAAAAGCAACGACAGCAAAAAAAAAACACTTTTACCGCATATATGGTGAACGGTTTTCGCCGAATGAGGGAGTGTTAAAGACGTATATGGTGAAGCGACATTGCCAAATAAGGGGTGTGCTATATGTATATATATATATATATACATATACATGTATGGTGAACCGGAATCGCCAAATGAGCGGGGTTGTTTAACACGTATCATGAACAGTTATCGCCAAATGAGGGGGCGTGTTTATCATGTATGTTGAGCCGTTATCGCCAATTGAGGGTGGCGTGTTTAAGCTATGGGCTGACCCGGAATTCCCAAGTATAGGGGGGGGTGCTTACCTTTTGCAAGTGCGTTTGCAAATGGGGGGGGCTGCGCCCCCCAACCCCCCCGCTCTCTTCAGCCCCGTAGTGAACTTGCTTTAGCGAACGTCGTGCCATAGATATATGGTGAACCGAAATTACCAAATGGGGGGGGGGGGCGTGCTTCATAAATATGTGTATATATATATGTATATATATGTATATATATATATATATGATATATGATATATGGTGATCCGGAATCGCCAGATGAGGGGCTTGTTTAAGACGTGAACCGTTATCGCCAATTGAGGGGGCGTGTTCAAGATATAGGATGACCCGGAAATGCCAAATAAGGGGGCGTGCTTTAGATATGCGGAATCGCCGAATCAGGGCGCGCGTTTAAGATACATGGAGAACCGGAATCGTCAAAAGAGGGGGCGTGTTTAAGAGATATGATGAACCGGAATCGCCGAATCAGGGGGCGCGTCCAAGATACATGATGAGCTGATCTGAGCTGTAATGACCAAAAGAGGGGGCGCGTTAAATGTTATATACATATATATATATACACATATACATATGACGAGCCGTTATCGCCAAAAGAAAAGGCGTGTTTTAACATATATGGTGAAAGGTTATCGCCGAATGATGGGCGCGTTCGGGATATATGAAAGAGGGGGCATGTTTAAGACATATGGTGGACGGTCATCGCCGAACGAGGGGGCGTTTTAAAGATATATGGTGAACCGGAATTACCAAATACGGGGGCGTGTCCAAGATATGTGGTATAGTCGTATCTATGGCGTACCCGACTCGCCAAATGAGGGCGTGTGCTTCAGATGTGATGAATCGCCGGTCCTCTTTTGCATTGCGTTTGCCAACCGGGGGGGGGCGTTATATAATTCATTGCAGGCGCATTGGGGGACTACTTATTTCGATCCAGCCTCTATAAGCGCCTCAGCCTCTAAGCGTCTCAGCGCCTCAACCAGGCCAGAAGAGTATACAGGCGCCTACAAGCTTCTAAGCGCATAAGCGTCTCAGCGCCTAGGAATAGAGGCTTAGAGGTTTAGAGGCTTATGCAGGTCTGTGAGCCGCCAGGCCTTGCAATAGAGGCTTATAGAGGCGTGTCGACGACCGGGGCTTGTCATAAAAGACATGGAGACGTCACGAGCGCTAAGCCTTTCAAAGCGCCTAAGCGCCTAAAAGTGCCTACAAGCGCCTAAGCGCGTAAAAGCGCCTAAGCGCATAAAAGCGCCGATCAGCGCCTAAGCGCCCAAAAGCGCTTGAGCGCCCAGAAGCGCCTAAAAGCGCCTAAAAGCGCCTAAAAGCGCCTAAAAGCGCCTAAGCGCCTAAAAGCGCCTAAAAGCGCCTAAAAGCGCTTAAGCGCCTACACACACATACGTACATACATGTGTGTATGTATATATATATATATATGTATGTATGTATGTATGTACGCATTAGAAACAGATACGTATGTATACTCATGATTTT